AGAGAGGAGAGGGAGGAGAAGAGAGGAGAGGAGGGGGAGGGGAGGAGAGGAGAGGAAAGAAGAGGGAGGAGAGGGAGGGGAAGAGGGAGAGGAATTGAGGGGAGAGGGGAGGGGAGAGGAGAAGAGAGGAGAGGGAGGGGAGGGGGAAGAGGGAGAGGCCGCAGCCAAAAAAGCCAGTTGTCATGGTTCCGACTAATGAAACACTTCAAAGAACTTCCCAGCATGTTTATCCTAAAGCAGTGGTTCTCAACCTGTGGGTGGCGACCCCATTTGGGGTCGAACGACCATTTCACGGGGGTCACCAAACAACGCGATCCGCCATTTTTTTTCATCAGCCGGCGCAGAGGGCGGTGCCGCGCATGCGTGCCGTGCAGGGGGCGGCGCCGCCTGCTTATGACCGGGGTCGCCGTATAAAAAGGTTGAGAACCACTGTCCTAAAGCCTTTATTAACAGTGTTACAAATTGCCAGTCACCATCATGGACGTTTTGATGCCAGAATCTGACTTCCTCTTGCTGGCATCTCACTTTTCTTGCTAAATCCCTCCTTTATCTTGCAGTCACAAGTCACATCTTCCAATTAGCCCAGAGGGCAGAGATTCACTTCCTGTTCCTTTTCCCGGGCTTCTGTTATTTCCCCTCCCTTTTCTCTTGTCATCTGAATTAACTCTAAACGTACCAGACAGTTCTGCATATTTTGTCAAAGCAAGAATATTCAATATTGGCAGCGTTGACACCAATACAATCCTGCGCTGCATAAACAGAGGCATAGATCACGCAAAGTATGAGTGCCGCTTTATAAAACCCTAGGGAGGCCACACCTGGAAGACCGCAGCCAGTTTCGGTCACCGTATCGCAAAAAAAAAAAAGAGGTTGAGAGTTTGGACAAAGTTTAGAGAAGAACAGCTGAGATGATCCAAGGCCTGGAGGCTAAAACGTACGAAGAACGGCTGCGGGATTTGGATTTGGCTAGTCTAAAGAAAAGAAGGACGAGGGGGGACATGATAGCAGAGTTCCAATATCTGAGGGGCTGCCACAAAGAAGAGGGAGCCAAGCTGTTCCCCAAAGCACCAGAGGGCAGGATGAGAAACAGTGGTTGGAAACTGATCAAGGAGAGAAGCAACCTGGAATTAAGGAGAAAGTTCCTGACAGGGAGGACAATTAACCAGTGGAACAACCTGCCTCCAGAAATTGTGGGCGCTCCAACAGTGGAGGTTTTTAAGAAGAGACTGGACATAACACCTGTCTGAGGCAGTGTAGGTTCTCCTGCTTGAGCAGAGGGCTTGACTAGAAGACCTCCAAGGTCCCTTCCAGCTTCTATTCTATTCCTATTCTATTCTATTCTATTCCTTATTCTATTCTATTCCTTATTCTATTCTATTCATTCTATTCTACTCCATTCCATTCCATTCATCTATTGTATTGTATTGTATTGTATTGTATTGTGTTCTGTTCTATTCTATTCCTTATCCTATCCTATTCCCTATTCTATTCTATTCCTTATTCTATTCTATTCTATTCTATTCCATTCCATTCCATCTAGTCTAGTCTATTCCTTATTCCATTCTATTCCATTCCATTCTAATCTAATCTAATCTATTCTAATCTATTCTAATCCTACTCTACTCTATTCTCTATTCTATTTCTATCCCAAACTGGGCATTTAGGAAAGAAAGACCTGCGACTCCATTTGCAGAGAAATATGTACTTTTACTAAAGCCAAGTGATTACAGCGTAGGAAAGCTGGATCTGAAGATTCCAGCATAAGCCCGGTTAAGAAGAGACTGGGCAGCCCTTTGTCTGAAATGGTATAGGGCTTCGTGCCAGAGCAGGGGGTTGGACTTTTCCTCCTCCTCCTCCTCCTCCTCCTCCTCCTCCTCCTCCTCCTCCTCCTCCTCCTCCTCCTCCTCCTCCACCACCACCACCACCACCACCACAACTCCCCTTCTCTTCTAACACTGGTTGATGTTCCCTAATGGGGTCATGAAACGTCTGCAAGAAAGCCACCCAGCTCAGAGAGCCCCCGGGACCCCTCAGGTTTTGGTAACCGTTCTGAGCTTTGGCACCTCTTCAGTGGGCCCAACCCATGTCTCTGGAGAGCTCTTGGTCCGGTTTCTGTTTTCCATCATTCCCCCCCTCACCCCCGCTCCGCTCCCCCCATGTTTTACGCCAGGCTGCCCTCCGTTGACGCGACGGCCGATCTGACCGCCCTTCCTGGGCGTCCCCGGCCGTCCTTGTGGGCTCACTTGCAATGCCAGGGTTCTGCCAGCCTCCGAGGGCTGTAACCGCCTTCTCCGCCGCCCGCAGGTCCCGGAGGCCATCAAGTCCCAGTACCGGATCCCACCAGCATTAATGGCGCCGGCGGCCATCCGAAACGGGGAGCTGATTTGCAACGGGTTTTCCGAGGAGTCTTTGCCGAAGGCCCCCGGCAGCGCTTCCCAGCACTTAGCCGCCCAGGCTGAACAGCAAGAGGTAACGGCTGACACGCCTCGTATTTGGGGGGGGGGACAGGCAGGAGGGTTAGGGGGTTGCCCTCCTGGCAGGCTGCAGCTAACGCCCCCTTCTCTGGGTCTTAGAATTGGGGCAGGGCCCTCTGGCAGAGCAACCCACCCCCACACAAGCCCAGCCCCCACAGAAAACCTGTAGCCCAGCTCCTTCCCTTAGTTGGGGGTTGTATCAAGCAGGGTCCTCCCCTCTTCCCCACGGAGCCTCCTTCATCGGCTTTGGGCTAGGAGAGCCGAAGGAAGCCAGGCTGCTGATGTGGAATGGAGGCAGTCCTTGACTTACGACCACAACGGACGTTTCCACTGGTGAGCAAGGCGAGCTTTGCCCTGTTTTATGTCCTTCCTCGCCACGGCTCTTAAGTGCATCCCTGGCGGTCGCCAAGTCAGCAGCGTGATTGTTGAGGTCACCAAAGGGGGTGACGTGAGCCCAGGACACCCCAACCGTCATAAACACAGGCCAGTTTCCGAACCGTCACAAGTACGTGACAGTTTCTGAACCGTCATAAGTACGTGACAGTTTCCGAACCGTCATAAGTACGTGACAGTTTCCGAACCGTCATAAGCACAGGCCAGTTTCTGAACCGTCATAAGTACGTGACAGTTTCCGAACCGTCATAAGTACATGACAGTTTCCAACCGTCATAAGTACATGACAGTTTCCGACCGTCATAAGTACATGACAGTTTCTGAACCGTCATAAGTACATGACAGTTTCTGAACCGTCATAAGCACAGGCCAGTTTCCGAACCGTCATAAGTACGGGACAGTTTCCGAACCATCATAAGTACATGACAGTTTCCGAACCGTCATAAGTACGTGCCAGTTTCCGAACCGTCATAAGTACATGACAGTTTCCGAACCGTCATAAGTACGGGACAGTTTCCGAACCATCATAAGTACATGACAGTTTCCGAACTGTCATAAGTACGTGACAGTTTCCGAACCGTCATAAGTACATGACAGTTTCCGAACCGTCATAAGTACGTGACAGTTTCCGAACCGTCATAAGTACATGACAGTTTCCAACCGTCATAAGTACATGACAGTTTCTGACCGTCATAAGTACATGACAGTTTCTGAACCGTCATAAGTACATGACAGTTTCTGAACCATCATAAGCACAGGCCAGTTTCCGAACCGTCATAAGTACGGGACAGTTTCCGAACCATCATAAGTACATGACAGTTTCCGAACCGTCATAAGTACGTGCCAGTTTCCGAACCGTCATAAGTACATGACAGTTTCCGAACCGTCATAAGTACGTGACAGTTTCCGAACCATCATAAGTACGGGACAGTTTCCAAACCGTCATAAGTACATGACAGTTTCCGAACCGTCATAAGTACATGACAGTTTCCGACCGTCATAAGTACATGACAGTTTCTGAACCGTCATAAGTACGACAGTTTCTGAACCGTCATAAGCACAGGCCAGTTTCCGAACCGTCATAAGTACGTGCCAGTTTCCGAACCGTCATAAGTACATGACAGTTTCCGAACCGTCATAAGTACGTGACAGTTTCCGAACCGTCATAAGTACAGGACAGTTTCCGAACCGTCATAAGTACATGACAGTTTCTGAACCGTCATAAGTACATGACAGTTTCTGAACCGTCATAAGCACAGGCCAGTTTCCGAACCGTCATAAGTACGTGCCAGTTTCCGAACCGTCATAAGTACATGACAGTTTCCGAACCGTCATAAGTACGTGACAGTTTCCGAACCGTCATAAGTACGGGACAGTTTCCGAACCGTCATAAGTACATGACAGTTTCCGAACCGTCATAAGTATGTGACAGTTTCTGAACCGTCATAAGCACAGACCAGTTTCCGAGTGTCCCAAATTTTGATCACGTGACCAATTTTGTGACCGGATTGTCTGCCTCCCACTCGGCTATCCAGGATTTCTTTCATTTCTGAAAATCTTTCGTTTCGTTTTCTCTAACTAACCCAGTGGTTCTCAACCCTTTTAATGCCGCGAGCCCCCAACCGGTCGTAAGTCGAGGACTCCTCAACTGGTGCAGCCCCGTTTGCAGAAGGGGACTTTTGGCGGGCTCAGCAGGGCAGAGACAGCCTGGACAATTCCGATTGGCTTTTGAAAGCCAATAGAATTAGACTCTGTTCAAGAGAGTCTCTTCTATTGGCTTTCAAAAGCCAATAGAATAAAAGGGAGGAGCACAGCTAAGGAAAAGGGGGAGAAAATGGCGGACTGCGTTGTTTGGCGACCCCTGTGAAATGGTCGTTCGACCCCAAATGGGGTCCCGACCCACCGGTGGAGAACCGCTGAACTAACCCATTCGAAGCCTCTTTCTCCCCCCGCACATCCCCCCCCAGTCCTTTACTCTAATGACAGCATGAAAACATAGAGGCACGTAGTTGCTACGTTTTCACTCCCGGCCTGGATTTTGATCCCGCGAGCAATTTTAATCCTGCGACTTGTTGACGGTTTTGCAGGCACTGCTCGCAAGCGAGAAAGGGGAAAAAAAAAAACCAAAACAAAACGGGTCCCGAGTTGCTTTTTCCCACCGCTGGGAACTTCGGTCCCTCAAATGAATGTTTGTCAAGGGCTTAGGGTTACTTGCAGTAAGAAATAACAGGCCAGCATACTTTAAAACAGGTTTAAAACTCCTTTGCGTGGTGCAAAACCTTTCGGGAGAAGGAGAGGCGTCCTTCCGTGGCTGGCTTTTGGCAGCCCCCCCCCCCCTCTGTCCACGGGAGGACCTTCTGACAATGGAGAAACCAGATTTACGTAAAAAAAGAAAATCCTGTTAAACTGAGTTTAACAACTGCACTTAACAACTTGGGCAAGAAAGGTGGCGAAATGGGGCAAAAAGTTCACTCCGCTGCCTCGCTTAGTGACGGAAATGTCGGGCTCCATTTGTTGTGAGTCGAGGACTGCCTGCCTACCACCCCCTAGTGCAGTGTTTCCCAAACTTGACCATTTTAAGGCATGTGGACTTCAACTCCCAGAATTCCACAGCCAGCGTTGCTGGCTGTGGAATTCTGGGAGTTGAAGTCCTCATGCCTTAAAATGGTCAAGTTTGGGAAACATGGCCCTAGTGCCGTGATGATGGCGAAGCCTTTTAGAGACCGGGGGCCCAAACTGCAACCCAAAACCCGCTTCTGCCTTGTCGGCGGGGGGGCGTGGCCCCTTGGGTGGGCGTGGCCAATTGAGTGTGGCCCATTGGGTGGGCGTGGCTGCGGTGGTCCCGGCAGACTGGGTGGGACTAAAAAGTTCAATCCATCCATTCCAACTTTGCAAGATCTCCCCCCCCCCCCCCGCGAGAAGTTGAAATTGACCGATCGATTGAACCTTTTGGTTTTTTTGCACACGGCGGCGGAGGCCTAAAGCGAAAAGGTTTTATAAAACCCAGCTGAAGGCCTAGGACTGGGGCGACGGCGCGCGTGCCCACCGACAGGGCTCTGAGTGCCGCCTCTGGCACCCGTGCCGTAGCTTCGCCACCACTGGTCTAGTGCTTTACAGTTCGCTCGCTCTGGGCGGTTCAGCAGCTCAGACCATACCTACGGCCGGACCGAGGCAGGGCGGGGGGGGGGGCAGAGCTGACCGCTATCCTTCCTGACCTCTGACCCGTGGCCTCCCTTTCTCTTTCAGTGGCTGTGCAGCATCGTGGCCCTGCAGTGCAGCATCCTCAAACACTTATCGGCCAAACAGGGCCCTTTTTCCTGGGACGTGGAGCAGCTGGAAAAAGGGGATGTCAAGCCGGTGCTGGCGGCCGACGGCTCCCTGGCCAGTCTGTACCGCGCGGCGGACAAGCCCACCCCTCCTTCCGCTTGCCCGGCTTCTTGCCCCGCGGGGCTCATCCCCCAGAACTCCTTGCAGGACGAGACCCCCTACCCCTCCTCCGCGGACCGGCCCAAGAAGCCTCCCCCCTGTGGGACGTCCAACGGCCTCGGTGGGGCCGCCGAGGTGAAAGTCAATGGCCCCAGCTTCTATGGCGAGGCCTCGGCGCCCACCTCCTCCAGGCTGAGCGGGCCGGGCGGGCCCGGGTCTCACCGGCAGCAGCCCTGGCCTCGGCCCACCACTCCCCCGGCGGCGTACGGGCTCCTCAACCACGTGGCTGGGGCGGTGGTGAAGACGGAGAAGGCGGCGGGGCCCGTCTCGTGCCCGCACAAGGGCGCCGTGCCCGTCGCCACCCTGCTGGCCTCCATCCCCAGCTCTTGCTTCGGCCTGGAAGCTGCCACGGCGTGGCCCCCGAAGAACACTCAGGCGCCGATCGGGCCTCTGCTCACCACAGATCTGGGCGCAGCGGACTCTCCTGTCTCCGCCACGTGGGCCCTCACCCCCCACCCAGCGGCTGTAGGGGAGGGGGGCTCCGCCGTGGGCCCCGCCCACGGTTTTTGTTCGTCAGCCCCGCCTCCAGGTGAGCACAGAGGATGGCTTTCTTTTTTTTTTTTTTTTTTGGTGCTCAGGTACAAAAGCGCATCAAGTAAGGGACAACGAGAACCGGAGGGTTAAATTGCAATTTAGCTACATTAAAAGTGTTGTGGATTTAACACTTTTAAGTCCCTTTAAGAAGAGACTGGGCGGTCGTTTGTCTGGAATGTCGCAGGGCACCTGGGAGGTCTTCTAGTCCAGCCCCCTGCTCAAGCAGGCGGCCGTATCTCAGGGGTGTCCAACCTTGGAACTTTAAGACTTGTGGATTTCAACTCTCGCGCCGGCTGGGGAATTCTGGGAGTTGACATCCACAAGTCTTAAAGTTCCAAGGTTGGACCCCCCTGATAGAAGGTCTTGAGGGTTAGACTAGAAGACCTCCAAGGTCCCTTCCCGCTCTTGTTATTCGGTTACGTCTTTCCAGTACAAGCACTGGGGTCAGGTTTGCCGTGGATACCTGGGTGACACAAAGTGGATACGGGCTGCAGAGGTCCAGGGCTCGGCTCTCTGTGTTGTGGCTTGAGGCTGCTCCGCTGTCTTGCAGCCCTGGGCCTGGGTGCCTGAGGGAGTGCGTCCCAAGGCAGGGTGGCGCAGTGGTTAGAGTGCAGTACTGGAGGCTACTTCCGCTGACTGCTGACTGCCAGCAGTCCTTCCTCCCTTCCCTTCTTCTTTCCTTCTTTCTCCCTTCCCTCCTTCCCTCCTTCCTTCCTTCTTTCTCCCTTTTTTCCCTTCCCTCCTTCCTTCCTTCTTTCTCCCTCCCTTTTCTCCCTTCTTTCCTCCCTTCCCTCCTTCCTTCCTTCTTTCTCCCTCCCTTTTCTCCCTTCCTCCCTTCCCTCCTTCCTTCCTTCCTTCTTTCTCCCTCCCTTTTCTCCCTTCTTTCTCCCTCCCTTTTTCCCTTCCTTCCTCCCTTCCCTCCTTCTTTCCCTCCTTTTTCTTCCTTCCTTCCTTCCCTCCTTCCTTCTTTCTCCCTCCCTTTTCTCCCTTCCTTCCTTCCTTCCTTCCTTCCTTCTTTCTCCCTCCTTTCCTTCCTTCCTTCCTCCCTTTCCTCCTTCCTTCTCCCTCCCTTCCCTTCCTTCTTTCCTTCCTTCCTCCCCTCTTTCTCCCTCCCTCCCTCTCCTTCCTTCCTTCCTTCCTTCCTTCCTTCCTTTCCTGCCCTGGTGGCGCAGTGGTTAGAACACAGCATTGCAGGCTAACTCTGCCCACCGCCAGGAAGTTCGATCCTGACCGGCTCCAGGTTAACTCTGCCTTCCATCCTTCGGAAGTGAGTAAAATGAGGACTCAGATTGTTGGGGGCAAATAGGCTGACTCTGTACGCCGCTCAGAGGGGTCTGTCAAGCACTGTGAAGCGGTATATAAGTTTAAGAGCTATTGCTTAGGGAAGGAAGGAAGGAAGGAAGGAAGGAAGGAAGGAAGGAAGGAAGGAAGGAAGGAAACCGTGGTGTCGCAGCGGTTAGAACGCAGTATTGCAAACTAATTCTGCCCACAGCCAGGAAGTTTGATCTTTATGGGGCTCGAGGTTGACTCAGCCTTCCGTCCTTCCGAGGTCGATAAAATAAGGACCAGGATTGTAAAGCTTCTTAGAGAGGGCTGTAAAAGTGTGATGAAGTGGCATATAAGTGCTGTTGCCATTGTTATTGCTACCTAAGGTCTCCTCTATGGTCTGCCTTCCTGGGATGTTTATTGACTTATTTATTACTCGACCACTTCAAAACGCGCTGAATTCGTAATTCGACACCCTTTGGAGCAGAATTCTCGTCCCCGGCGCTTGTCTTTCTCCCGGTAGTCGACATGCAAGGAAGAACTTTGCTGATTTCAGCTGCCTCGTGACTCGCTATTTCTTCCAGCCGAAATAGCGGGTCACGTGGTTTTCTCAGTACTTAATAATAATAAAGTCAGAAGGGATCTCGGAGGTCATCTAGTCCAACCCCAGGCAGGAAACCCTATACTATTTCAGACAAATGGCTGTCCAGTCTCTTCTTTAAAACTTCCAGTGTTGGAGCATTCACAGCTTCTGGAGGCAGGTTGTTAATAATAATAAAGTTAGAAGGGATCTCGGAGGTCATCTAGTCCAACCCCCTGCTCAGGCAGGAAACCCTATACTATTTCAGACAAATGGCTGTCCACTCTCTTCTTAAAAACTTCCAGTGTTGAAGCATTCACCACTTTTGGAGGCAGGTGGTTCCACTGGTTAATTGTTCTCACTGTCAGGAAGTTTCTCCTTAGTTCCAGGTTGCTTCTCACCTTGATTAGTTTCCCTCCGTTGCTTCTTGTCCTGCCTTCAGGCGCTTTGGAGAAGAGCTTGACTCCCTCTTCTTTGGGGCAGCCCCTGAGATATTGTCGGGTTTAGATTTCGTTGCATCATCTAGAACGGGTCCCGAACCCCTGGTCTGTGGACCGGTACTGGGCCACGGCATGCCAGCAACCGGGCTGCACAAACAAGCAAAGCCCCATCCTTGGGATGCAGGCAGTACACGAAACCGAGCACCCTCCAATCCGTGGAAAAATCTTTCTCTACGAAAAGTTGGGGGCCTCTGATCTAGAACGAATAACCGACGAGTACCGAGTACCGAGGTGCTGCTCTATTATTATTTGCATCCGGAGGGACCGAAGGGAGATTGCCATAATTTATCAGTGCAAACATCACACAAAGAGCTTTTTAGCAGCACAAAGAACTTGTTAAGAGTGTGCAGATTGTCCCAGAAGCTAACTTTGGACTAAAAGGTAGAAGGATGACGTTTTTCTCTCAACCAGAAATAATTTTGCTCTGTTTTTTGCCCTTTCCCATTGGTAATTCCTTCTGTCTCTGGCCCCACTCACAAATAAATTTTGTTTCTTTTGCTGTACACAATTGACATACAGGTAGTCCTTGACCTAGTTTAGGGACCGTTCCAACTTATGACAGCACTGAAAAAAAAAGAGAGATTTTTGACCGTTTTTCACAGTTAACCACCTTTGCAGCATCCCCACGGTCAGGTGATCAAAATTCAAAGGCTTGGCAACTGGCTCAAAGTTATGAAGGTCGCACTGTGATCCCCTTTTGAGACCGTCTGAGTCAAAGGGGAAAGCCACATCTACTTAACAGCTGGGTTATTGATTTAGCAACTGCCGTGATTTTACTTAGCTTTGGCTAAAAGAGGTCTTAAAATGTGGTAGGACTCACAACAAATGTCTAGCTTAGTGACGGACATTTTGGGCTCAGCTGCGGTTGTAAGTCGAGGGCTACTGTAATTTTCAGCCACTTCCGAGTGTTTATTAGTTTTCATTGCACTAGCTTGGTTATAAACCAGGGGTCTTCCAACTTGGCCCTTTGATGACATGTGGACTTCAACTCCCAGAATTCCTCAGCTAGGCACACTGGCTGAGGAATTCTGGGAGTTGAAGTCCACAAGTCATGAAGGGGCCATAGTTCCCCCATGCTGGCTCAGGAATTCTGGGAGTTGAAGTCCATGAGTCATGAAGGGGCCATAATTCCACCTGCTGGCTGAGGAATTCTGGGAGTTGAAGTCCACGAGTCATGAAGGGGCCATAATTCCCCCATGCTGGCTGAGGAATTCTGGGAGTTGAAGTCCACGAGTCATGAAGGGGCCATAATTCCCCCATGCTGGCTCAGGAATTCTGGGAGTTGAAGTCCATGAGTCATAGCCATAATTCCCCCATGCTGGCTGAGAAATTCTGGGAGTTGAAGTCCACGAGTCATGAAGGGAGCCATAGTTCCCCCATGCTGGCTCAGGAATTCTGGGAGTTGAAGTCCACGAGTCATGAAGGGGCCATAATTCCCCCATGCTGGCTCAGGAATTCTGGGAGTTGAAGTCCATGAGTCATAGCCATAATTCCCCCATGCTGGCTGAGAAATTCTGGGAGTTGAAGTCCACAAGTCATGAAGGGGCCATAGTTCCCCCATGCTGGCTGAGGAATTCTGGGAGTTGAAGTCCATGAGTCATGATGGGGCCATAATTCCCCCTGCTGGCTGAGGAATTCTGGGAGTTGAAGTCCACCAATCATGAAGGGGGCCATAGTTCCCCCATGCTGGCTGAGGAATCCTTGGAGTTGAAGTCCACAAGTCATGAAGGGGCCATAGTCCCCCCCATGCTGACTGAGGAATTCTGGGAGTTGAAGTCCACCAGTCATCAAAAGGCCAAGTTGGAAGACCCTTGCTTATGGACTTCAACTCCCAGAATTCCTCAGCCAGCCTGCCTGGCTGAGGAATTCTGGGAGTTGAAGTCCACAAGTCGTCATAGACCAAGTTTGAAGACCCCCTGTTATAAACGGATTTCGCAGTCTGTCCAGATCTGGTAGATTTAACCCTGACCTGAGCTGACCTGTTTGCTTTTCTCTCCTCTCCAGATGGAAAGGTCAGCCCGGATCCCCTTCCTGGTTTAGCCACCCCTTCCTCGCTCCCTTCCAATTCTTCGGCCGCGGTGGACATTGCAGGTCCCGTGAAGGCATTAATCGACGGCAGCGGAGGTGAGGGTCCTTGGCCTGGGCAGAAGGTCTGCGGAGATTCTCCTCCAGGTCAGGTTGTCCCAAAGGTGTTTTTTCAGGAGTTTTTTTTTTTTTCCTTGAAGACTGTTCGCTTCTCATCCCAGATGCTTCTTCAGTTCTGCCTGAATGGTGGAGGATGGAAGGATGTAGATGCCTTGCAGTCATCTGGTCATTCACGCTCTTTCTGAGAGGCCTTGAGGCCACTTGGAGGTTCATCTGTATCTTCAGAGTCACCTGAGTGTAAACAGGTGTGCTGTTCACCCTGTTGACCCATGACTGTTGTCCCAGGTTTGCCACCAACCATATTGTGAAGGTCGCAGATGATACAACAGCAGTGGGCCTTATTCAGGATGACAAGGTGGAAGCTTACCGCAAGGAGGTTGAGAGGTTGGTGAACTGGTGTAAGGAGAACAGCCTAGTTTTAAATACCAAAATAACCAAAGAGATCATTGTCGATTTCAGAAAAGGCAGGCACAGCCAGACTTCTCTGGGCATTAATGATTCACCTGCGGTGAGGGTTACCAGCGTCAAATTCCTGGGTGTGCAGCTAACGAGTAGGCTGACTTGGTCGCTCAACAGCGGGAAACTGGTGAAGCGGGCACAGCAGCGCCTGCATTTTCTGCATCGCATGAGAAAAGCACATCTTTCTTCCCCTGTCCTGACCACTTTCTATAGAGGGATGATCGAGAGCATCCTGTCATACAGCATCACAGTCTGGTTTGGAAGCATCCCTGCTTCAGACAGGAAGGCAGTGCAGAGAGTGGTGAGGACGGCAGAAAAGATCATTAGCAGTTCCCTCCCTCCCATCCAGGACATAGCGCAGAAGTGCTGTTTGAGCAGGGTCCGTAAGATTATCTGGGACACTACACACCCTCTTCACGACCTGTTTTCCTTGTTACCTTTGGGGGGGGGGCTCTGTGGTATCCCAAGCAGAACATCCAGATTCAGCCAGAGTTTCATTCCATACAGCACTAACCTTGCAAACTCTCAAGCTTCCTCCTTCTGTTATATATTCAAGATGGATAATATTTAATATTTATTTGCTATGTATATGTAGGGGGTGGGTCTATACATATGTTGTATATAATATGTTTTACGTGTGAGTCATGTTTGTGTTTCACTTTGAGAGCGGGCAACTCAATTTCATTTTTGACGTGTGCCGTTGTGCCCACGGTAAAAAAAATGACAATAAAGGTTATCTTATCTCTTTTTGGAATTGCTGAAAGGACTGTGTTGTAAAGAGGAGATGGGGGGGGGTGTTGTGTCCCTCCCCCTCTGTTGAGAGAAGGCCGTTCAGTTTTGACCTAGATGGCCTCTTGGACAGACAGCAGTCCTGCCTGTCCAAAATGGGGACTTGGCTGTCTTGCAGAGAGGGGCCTTGATCTTTCAAGTGCAGTGGGGCTGCTGATGACAACTCTTAAAGCCACTCTTGAAGACAGCAAAGTCCACATTTTGAACAAAGAGGACCACTGCTAGTTTGAACCGCCCTCTGGGCCCTATCTTAACAAAATGAAAGTCAGTGTAGAGAAAAGTCAAGTCTTACACTTAAGCAAGAAAAACCCAAAAAGGACACACGTGGATTGGGTGAAACCAGGCGTAATAGCAGCAACTGTGAGAGGGATAAGATAAGATAAGATAAGATGACCTTTATTGTCATTTTTTTACTGTGGGCACAACGGCACACATCAAAAATGAAATTTAGTTGCCCGGTCTCAAAGTGAAACGCATACATGACACACACCTAAACATACTATATACAACATAACTTGGAGTCTTAGTGGACAATCAGTTAAACATCTTGGATCTTGGAGTCTTCATGGAAAATCAATTCAAGATGAGCCAACTGTATGTGGCAGCAGCCAAAAAAGCCAATACAATCCTAAGTTGCATTAACAGAGGAGTCAGTCAAGATTGTGCGAGGCAGTAGTACAGTGGTTCTCAACCTTTTTAATGCTACGACCCCCCAAGTGGTCGTAAGTCGAGGACTAAACTGGTTGTAAGTCGAGGACTACCCAACCGGTCGTAAGTGGAGTGCCCGGGAATGCCACGCATGTGTGGTGCTGCCCCCTGCGCCGGCCGAGACGTAGCTAGCAAGCGGCAGAGACAGAGCAGGCCGACCACCGGCTGGGCCACCAGCTGGCCCAGCCCAAGGGAGGTAAGGCACCCGCCAGAAAAGGGGAAAAAATGGGCAGCCTTGCTTGGCGACCCCCATGAAATGGTCGATCGACCCCAAATGGGGTCGCGACCCATAGGTTGAGAACCGCTGCACTAGTACCGCTCTACAAAGCTTTAGTAAGACCCCAGCTAGGATACAGAATCCAGTTTTGGTCTCCACACTATAAAAAAGATGTTGAGACTCTGGAAAAAGTGCAGAGAAGAGCAACAAAGATGATCAGGGAACCGGAGGCTAAATCATACGAAGAGTGGTTGCAGGAACTGGGCATGGCTAGTCTAGTGAAGAGAAGGACCAGGGGAGACATGATAGCAGCCTTCCAATATTTGAGGGGCAGTCACACAGAGGAGGGGGTTCCACCTAGTTTCCAGGGCACCCAAAGTCCAGACAAGGAATAACGGATGGAATCCGATCAAGGGGAGATTCAACCTGGAAATAAGGGGAAATTTCCTGACAGTGAGGACAATCAACCAATGGGACAGACGTTGCCTTCAGATGTTGTGGGAGCGTCATCACTGGACGCTTTCAAGAAGAGACTGGACTGCCGTCTGTCAGAAATGGTGTAGAGTCTCCTGCTTGGGCAGGGGGTTGGACTAGATGACCTCCAAGGTCCCTTCCAACTCTGCTATTCTGATTCCAGTCTACCACACAGTCCTTTCAGCAGTTCCAAGGAGGCTCCACATCCATTTGCATTACTCCAATGACCCTCAGGACACAGGTGTAAACCTCCAAGTGGCCTCAACACCCTCTAAAACAGTGGTTCTCAACCTGTGGGTCGGGACCCCATTTGGGGTCGAATGACCATTTCACGGGGGTCGCCAAACCATCCTGTCCGCCATTTTTTTCCCTTTTCCCTAGCTGTCCTACTCCCTCTTATTGGTGGCCACACCCACTTGGGGGTCACCACAACATGGGGAACTGTATTATGGGGTCACGGCTTTAGAAAGGTTGAGAATCACTGCTCTAAAAGAAGGCAAATGACCAGCTGTCTGCAAGAAGTATAAATCCTTCCACTCCCCACCATCCAGTCAGAGCTGAAGAAGCTTCTGGATTGAGAAGGGAAATGTCTTCAAGGGGAATGGAAGGATTTATCCTCCTTGCAGACAGTCGGTCATTTGCCTTGGAGGCTGAGCTGTGTCCTCAGGGTCACCTGAGTGGTACAAATGGGTGTGGAGTTCCTTTTAGCAGGTCCAAGAAGCCCCCACCCCCATTTGCATTACTCAGGGGACCTTAAGGACACAGGTCAACCTCCAGGTAGCCTCAACGACTCTCTAAAAGGATGCAAATGACCAGCTATCTGCAAGGAGTATAAATCCTTCTATTCCCCACATCTGGTTAGAGCTGAAGAAGCTTCTGGGATGAGAAGCGAAACGTCTTCAAAGAAAACATTGATGTCCTGGAAAAGCACCTTTAGGGCTTGCAGTGGGCACTGCACGGACACACAAAAACCCGTTGACGGCTGGCAGAGGAAACGGGCCCCGTTCTCATGGTGGTCGTGCGGTCTGCCCACCTCTTGGTTCCTTCCTGTGCACGCAGCCCCTTTGGGCTTCCTTCGGAGACTGCTTGTTGCTCCCGGTCACTTCGAAGGCCGTGGGGTCGGCTCCTTGGCTCCCAGTCCAGGATCTCCACTGATCCGACCCCTTTCCCACCTTCACCCCTTGCCTTTTTGTTAGCAGAGATCGAGATCGGGATGCTGGACGAGAAACTGATCAAGTTCCTGGCCTTGCAGAGAATACACCAGCTCTTCGCCTCCAAAGCTCAGCCCGCAGCCGACCACGTGGGAAGCCCCCCGCCCACTTCGGCCAGCAGCCCTGCCGAAGGTAGTCTGCGCCGCCATAACCTGGGCCTTCCCTGGGAGGGAGGGGGGGTTGAAAAGAGAATTGGGGGCTTGGCATCCTCTTGCATGTGCCCCGTTTCCTCCCCCCCCCCTCCTGTGTCTTTCTGTCTTTTTCTCTCTGTGTATTTCTTTCTCTTTGTGTGTGTGTCTTTCTCTCTCCCCTCCCTCTGTGTCTTTCTCTCTCTGTGTATGTCTTTTTCTCTCCCTCCCTCTCTGTCTCTCTCACTGTGTGTGTGTGTGTGTGTGTGTCTTTCTGTCTTTTTCTCTCTCTTTCTCTCCCCCTCCCTCTCTCTCTCCCTCTCTCTCCTGTGTCTTTCTGTCTTTTTCTCTCTGTGTATTTCTTTCTCTTTGTGTGTGTGTCTTTCTCTCTCCCCTCCCTCTGTGTCTTTCTCTCTCTGTGTATGTCTCTCTCTCCCTCTCCCTCTTTCTCTATGTCTTTCTGTCTTTCTCTCTCTCTCTCTCTGTATTTTTTTCTCCCTCCTTCTCTCTCTGTCTTTCTCTCTTCTGTGTCTTTCTCTTTCTCTCCCCCTCCCTCTCTCTCTCCCTCTCTCTTCTGTGTCTTTCTGTCTTTTTCTCTCTGTGTATTTCTTTCTCTTTGTGTGTGTGTCTTTCTCTCTCCCCTCCCTCTGTGTCTTTCTCTCTCTGTGTATGTCTTTTTCTCTCCCTCCCTCTCTGTCTCTCTCACTGTGTGTGTGTGTGTGTCTTTCTGTCTTTTTCTCTCTTTCTCTCCCCCTCCCTCTCTCTCTCCCTCTCCCTCTTTCTCTATGTCTTTCTGTCTTTCTCTCTCTCTGTATTTTTCTTTCCCTCCCTCTCTCTCTGTGTTTTTCTCTTCTGTGACTTTCTTTCCTTCTCCCTCTCTCTTCTGTGTCTTTCTGTCTTTTTCTCTCTGTGTATTTCTTTCTCTTTGTGTGTGTGTCTTTCTCTCTCCCCTCCCTCTGTGTCTTTCTCTCTCTGTGTATGTTTTTCTCTCCCTCCCTTTCTGTCTCTCTCACTGTGTGTGTGTGTGTGTGTCTTTCTGTCTTTTTCTCTCTTTCTCTCCCCCTCTCTCTCCCTCTCTCTCCTGTGTCTTTCTGTCTTTTTCTCTCTCTGTATTTCTTTCTCTTTGTGTGTGTGTCTTTCTCTCTCCCCTCCCTCTGTGTCTTTCTCTCTCTGTGTATGTCTCTCTCTCCCTCCTCCTCTCCCTCTTTCTCTATGTCTTTCTGTCTTTCTCTCTCTCTCTCTGTGTCTTTCTTTTCTGTGTCTTTCTGTCTTTTTCTCTCTGTGTCTGTCTTTTTCTCTCTCTTTCTCTGTCTCTGTCTGTCTTTCTCTCTCTGTGTGTGTGTGTGTCTTTCTCTCTCTCTCCTCCCCCCTCTCAACCCTTCGGTCTCCAAGTGTTGCCCTCTCAAAGCGCGAACTCCTGAGAGCCTGCTAAGTGCCCACCCCTGCTCAAAGTAGATACAGTGGTACCTCGATACTCATCGCTAATCCGTTATCGGTTCCAGGAAGCTCAATGAGCACCAAAAAACAATCAGCACCAAACAAATTTTTCCCATAAGGAGTAAGGTAGTGAGTCACAAGGCAGCCAACACCGGCAAGTTCTAGCTTGTGCATTGAGTATCAAAACAAACAGCGAGTAGCGGAACAAAATCTCCTCGTCAAAGTGCGTCGAGTGCCCAATGCGATAAGTTTCCAAGCGGTTGAGCCCTAAGGTACCACTGTAATCCGAATTAAAGCATCATCGACAGGTGCCGGGCTGTCCATGCAGCAAAGAGGACACTCCAGCCCCAGTCTGGGCCCTGCTGCTCTGCCTGCCCCGGAGGGCAAGAGACTCCCTTGGGCGCCCCCTGCTTTCTGAGAATTCTAGCATCGCCTTGGCACTGGAGCAGCCTGTCGGCAGAAAGGAGTTGAAACGGTTAAGAAGGGTGCCTTGTTTTCCCTGGGCGGGGGTCTCGTGGGAAAGCGGAGCCCACCCCGATTCTTCCCAGCGGCGTTCAGAGAGAGGCACACGGACACCGAGCGATCCCGTCTCTGGCACGGGAGGCGCTTGGCACCCAGGGCATCTTTCTGCCTTTCCAGGACAGAGGAAGGAGGTGCAGGCCCGGGCGGTCTTCTACCCACTGCTGGGCTCGGGCAGCGCGGTGAACATGTGCTACAGGACCCTCTACATCGGGACAGGCAAGGGCTGGTTCTCTGCACGGCTGGCGGGGGAGGAGAGGGGGCGGCGTCGGTAGGGGAGGAGCCTCTCCGCTCTCTCGCTGCCACTCGGGGTGCGTACCTGGGGCTTCCTCTGCCCCCCTCGCTGGAACAGTCGCCCTCCAGGCAGTGGCCGATCCATGATTTACGTACAAGAAATACAGAGGGGAGCACCCCAAGGCCTGACCCAGCGCCCTCCCCGGGGCCTTCGGTAGTGGGGGACCCCAAGATTGCGGTTCTGACTCCCCCCCCATTCCTCCTTCGTTCGACAGGAGCAGACATGGACGTGTGCCTTACAAACTACGGTCACTGCAACTACGTCTCGGGCAAACACGCCTGCATCTTCTACGATGAGGTGAGAGCCGGAAGGAGGGCGGGCGTGCCCAGGTGGGCGCCTGGGGCTTTGGGGTGGGTGGGCGGGCGTTGAGATCCCTTCTCTGGCTGTTTCCCTCCCTCCGTTCCGCCCCCCTGGCAACTTCGGCCGTTTGGTGACAACGGCGTTTCCTCCCCAGAACACCAAACATTACGAGCTGCTCAACTACAGCGAGCACGGCACCACGGTGGACAACGTCCTGTACTCGTGCGACTTCTCCGAGAAGGCGGCGTTCATCCCGCCCAGCAGCATGGTTGCCAAAGTGCAGAGCGTGATCAGTAAGTTCCCCGGGCTGCCTGAGACATGCTTCCACACACCCCAGATCCATACAAACACACACACACACACACACACACACACACACACACACACATTTGCCCAAAGGGCTATCCTGTAATCCTTTTACTTCTTAGGGTCCAACGCTGGCTTGCTCTGAGTGGTGGGCAGCCTGCAAAACGGAAACACTTTTCAACGTGGCCTCTGCATCGGTGGCCGCGTGGCTCATTAGGATTATACTGAGCTTGCTTCAGTATACGTGGTCCTCTACTTAAGACCACAGTTGAGGAGAGGGACGGAGGATTAGGGAAGTTTGCTGCCTTCAGTTACACGGAGTCCTCAACTTAACGACCACAATTGACAGGGACGGATGATTAGGGATGTTTGCTGAGTTACAGAGAGTCCCTGACTTGCGCCCACAGCTGAGCCCAACACGTCTGTGGCTAAGCAAGCCGGTTGTTAAGTGAGTTTCCTCCATTTTATGACCTTTCCCGCCGCGGTTGTTAAGTGAATCCCTGCCGCGGTTAAGTGAGTCACATGGTTGTTAAGTGAATCTGGCTTCCCCATTGGCTTTGCTTGTTGGACGGTCGCAAAAGGGGATCGCGTGGCCCGGGACACTGCAACTGTCTGTTTAGGCCGTACGCCCCTCCCTCCTCCCCCCGTTTTATCCGTACAGAGCCCCGTTTAGGCCGTGCAGCCCCCCCATTTTGGCCGTGCGGAGCCCCTGTTTTGGCCGTGCGGAGCCCCTGTTTTGGCCGTGCGGAGCCCCATTTAGGCTGTGCGGAGCGCCATTTAGGCCATGCAGCCCCCCCCCCCATTTTGGCCGTGCGGAGCCCTGTTTAGGCCGTGCAGAGCCCCATTTAGGCTGTGTGGAGAGCCATTTAGGCCGTTTGGAGCCCCATTTAGGCCGTGCAGCCGTGGCACTATCACAAGTGGAGATGAGTGTGCACACCCACGGGCACGCACTGGCCAGCCTGTCCCACGCCCCGGTGGACAGTAGGCCTTGGCCCAGTCTTTGGAGATTTATGACTTTAGGTCCCCCGTACACCCCAGTTAGCCTGGACCCAGAGAGGTGGGTCTCCTTAACCCCTTGCCCCTTCCCCCCTCCCCAGCCCTGGGGGAAAATCCATCCCATAGTCTCAGTGCTGGCCCTCCCTGTCACCCCCCCCCCTCCATGGGGTTAGTCTTTTATGGGCATCTCTCTCTTGGAGATAGCCTCTTTACGGGCCTTTTTCAAACCGTGTCCCTGAATTCACTTCCACTTGCTCCTCCCCTGGTGAGGCTCGCAACAGTTGTGTGTGTCTGTGTGTAATGTGCAGGCAAGGCCTCGTTGTCAAGGCATGGAGGCAATTTCAGCATCTTTATTGAATGTATTGATTTAGGAACCGATTGCACAGGAGGGAAGACTGGGGCCTCTCTTCAACCACAGGAAAGGGGGGGGCAGGGGACCATCTTTAAATCCACTTCTCCATTGTAGGAGGAGCCCCCCCAAAGATGATTTAAAAAAATACAGATAGTCCTCAACTTACGACCACAACTGAGCCCCAAATTTCTGTCGCTGGAGTGACATATTTGTTAGGTGAATTTTGCTCCATTTCTAGCCACCGTCGTTAAGCGGAACCCTGCAGCGGTTAAGTGAGTGACGTGGTCGTTAAGCGAATCCTGCTTCCCCATTTGCTGGTCAGAAGGTCGCAAAACGGGATCGCATGACTTCAGGACACAGCAACTGTCATAAATAGGTGTCAGTCGCCAAGGGTCCAGATTTTGACCCCGGGGACGCTGCAACCGTCGTGTGAAGAACGGCCGTAAGTCGATAGTTTCAAACGGTCACTAAATGAACGGTTCTAAGTCGAGGACTGACTGTAGTGCTGATTGCAGCTAATTTTGAAGCATGGTTGAGTTTGCAATCAGGCAGCCCTCAGCTTACGACCGTCCATTTAGTGGCGGGGTCTCTGAACTCGGCTGCTTTAAGGCTGGTGGACTTCAACTCCCAGAATTCCTTAGCCAGCATGGCTGAGGAATTCTGGGAGTTGAAGTCCACCAGCCTTAAAGCGGCCAACTTTGGATAGCCCTGATTTAGTGATTGTTCAAAGTTACACAACATTGAAAAAAGTGACTATTTTTCACACTTATGACCGTTGCAGCCTCCCCGTGGTCACGTGATCAAAATTAGGAACGCTTTGCCACTGACTCGTATTTACGACGGTTGCAGCATCCTGGGATTTTGTGACCGCTGTTTGTGGCTCTTCCAGCCAGCTTCCAACAAGCAAAGATTATGGAAAGCCAGATTCAGATAACAAGTCTTCACTTAATGACAGATTCACTTAATGACCAACAGCTGCCGGGATTCACTTAACAACTGTGACAAAAATGTTGTAAAACGGGGCACGGTTCACTCAGCCGCTGTCTTGCTTGGCAGTGGCAGGTTTTGTTTTCTGGTTTTATGTTATTTTAATTTTACTTTTTTAATTTAATTTTGTTTTTCCATTTTTTATTTTATTTTTTATTTTATCATATAATTTTTTTATCTTGTGTCACTTTTATTTTTACTTGTTCTGTTTTATTTTACTATTTTATTTTAATAATATTAGTAATAGTAGTAGTAGTAGTAGTAATAATAATAATAATAATAACCACTTGAACACCATTGGCATTGACAAATTCGCTATTAGTCAATTGCAAAAGGCGGCCTTACTAGGAACTGCTTCCATCCTGCGACGATATCTGCCTATCCCAGGTCCTGGGTAAGGACTCGATAGGTAGACAAAATGCCAAATCCAGTCTGAACATCTGGCTGACTGTGCGATGATTGAGAATAATAATAGTAATAATAGTAAAGTTGGAAGGGACCTTGGAGGTCATCTAGTCCAGCCCCCTGCTCAGGCAGGAAACCCTACACCATTTCAGACAAAGGGGCTGTCCAGTCTCTTCTTAAAAACTTCCCGTGTTGGAACATTCACCGCTTCTGGAGGCAAGGAGTTCCACTGATTAATTGTTCTGACTGTCAGGAAGTTTCTCCTTAGTTCCAGGTTGCTTCTCTCCTTGATCAGTTTCCATTTTGTTTATCCCATTAGTGTATTTTGTTTCACTTTACTATTTTATTTTATTTTATTATTTCTTTTCTTTTCTTTTATATTTTATTATTTGGAAAATGTATTGGCCGCCCCTCTCAGCAGGCCCGTGCGTAACCTTGGACTCCGTTGCGGTTGTAAGGCGAGGACTCCCTGCAATTCAAGGGGGGAGCAGTTCCGGGGCGTCTGCCTTCTCCTTGGCCTCCATCCTCTGCCTCTTCTCCCCCTCCAGAGCGTCACAAGAGCCGGAAGCCGCCGGAGGAAGAGCTGCCTGCCCCGCCGGCCAGCGCGGAGCCCGTCGCCATGCGCGCCCAGGCCCAGGGCCAGCCCCAGCCGCCCTGCAGCTGCAGAGCCAGCAGCTCCAGCCTGATCGGGGGCAGCGGGGCGGGCTGGGAGGGCACGGCCCTGCTGCACCACGGCAGCTACATCAAGCTGGGCTGCCTGCAGTTCGTCTTCAGCATCACGGAGTTTGCGACCAAACCGCCTAAGATGGACGCCTCGGCCATGGCCCAAGAGACGGACCTGGAGGACAAGCTGACCCCCAAGAGCCACCAGGCCCTCGTGCTCCGGTCCAATTCAGTGCCATAGGAGCTGTGGGTAAGGGGGGGAGAGAAGGCCCTCCCCTCTTCTCCCCTGCATCAGAGACACACGCCGGCCGCGTCTGTCCGCGTTATTATTATTATTATTTTTTTTCCTCTTTCCTACCCGGAGGGCCGCAGACTTTGGACGCCCTTTGCATGAAATGAAGAACTTTTAAAAAAAAAAATTTTTTTTTATGGTTTGCTCAAGTTTTAGGGGCATTTGCACATATATTTGTACTATACATTTCATTTAAAAGACAAAAAAAAAAAAGGAAAAAAAAACCCACAGGATTCTGCCACCTGCGGAGGCCGTGCTGGCCGGAGGAGGGGGGGCGGCCGGGGGGGGGGTGTTGCGGCCCACGGCAAGCGCTCCCTCGCCGTTGTAAAAATAATTGAAAAAAAAAAAAAAACTTGTTCTATTTTGTGCCAGTGACAATAGTTTTTATATTGAAAAAAAAAAGAGAGAGAGAAATACAGTTTTCATACCGCAAAATCTATACAACTATCATTGTTTTATTTAATGTAAAGATGCACTCTTTCCCCCCCCCCCCCCCGACACACACACACACCATGCTGGTGTTTTTTTGGTTTTTTTGTGTGTCCCCCATGCCCACATCCTCTGCCTCTTCCCCTCCTGGACAGGCAGAGTCAAGGTCTACCCCCCCCCCAGCATCGATCCTTCCCCCCCCTCCCAGTTTTCCGATGACAAGAAGTATTTTGGGCGCTGTGTAAATACATCAACTGACGGCATTTTTCAATGTTTTTTAAAGCTGTGTACAGTGGTACATGTGGTATGACGTTGCCTCCGGTTGTCTTAATTGTAGCGAAGCGTTTTTTGTCGTGACCCTGTTTATTCACCCTTTTGTTCCAACGCTTCCCCCCTCCAACCCCCCCTCCACCCCACCCATCCTGTTCTCTCAGCAGCTGAGTTCTAATGTACAGAAGTAATTGCAATGTTTTAGCTTTTACGGAAACTTTTTTCCTGTATTCTGTGTATAAAACTAGAAAATACGGCACACGCTGGTGTCTTGCCTGTCTGTCGAGACTCCTCGTCAAGGAAGGGGCTGCAAATCACTGCTCCTCCCCCTGCCAGCCCATTGGATCGGACCACTCTTGGACACCCCTGCCCTGCTTGGCCCCAGCTCCGTCACGACCCCCCCCCTTTGGCATTCTTAGTGTCCACATCTGGAGAGGAGGCAGCTGCAAGCATCACCACTACGTCTGCCTAGCCAGAGGACCGGTAGGGCCCCCCCCAGGCTGCCTTGGGGCCCATGTTTGCACCCTGAGGTGCTACTTTAACTCCATCGTCCCCACACCTGTGTACTGTCTGGACCAGGGGTAGGCAACCTCGGCTCTTTTATGACTCATGGACTTCAACTCCCAGAATTCCTGAGTCATCAGGAGTAGGCAACCTCGGCTCTTTTATTCAACTCCCAGAATTCCTGAGTCAGCAGGGTAGGTAACCTCAGCTCTTTTATGACTCATGGACTTCAACTCCCAGAATTCCTAAGTCAGCAGGGGTAGGAAACCTCGACTCTTTTATGACTCATGGACTTCAACTCCCAGAATTCCTGAGCCAGCAGGGTAGGTAACCTCGGCTCTTTTATGACTCATGGATTTCAACTCCCAGAATTCCTGAGTCAGCAGGGTAGGTAACCTCAGCTCTTTTATGACTTATGGACTTCAACTCCCAGAATTCCTAAGTCACCAGGGTAGGTAACCTCAGCTCTTTTATGACTCATGGACTTCAACTCCCAGAATTCCTAAGTCACCAGGGTAGGTAACCTCAGCTCTTTTATGACTCATGGACTTCAACTCCCAGAATTCCTAAGTCACCAGGGTAGGTAACCTCAGCTCTTTTATGACTCATGGACTTCAACTCCCATAACTCCCAGGCAAACAAAATCATTACTAACAGCCAACACGGGTTTGTCAAAAACGGATCATGCCAGACAAATCTTATTGCATTCTTCGACCAAGTGACAAAATTAGTGGACCAGAGGAATGCTGTGGATATAATTTACTTGGACTTCAGTAAGACATTTGACAAAGTAGACGACAACCTACTACTTGAGAAGATAGAAAAATGCGGGTTAGACACCCACCCTGGCCACACTCACCCGGCCCCTCAAGAGCAACCGCAATGCTGATGCGGCCCTCAATGAAATTGAGTTTGACACCCCTGTACTACTTGATAAGATAGAAAAATGTGGGGTAGACAGCATCACCACCAGATGGATCCGTAGCTGGCTGACCGGCCGTACTCAGCATGTGGTCCTCAATGGAACCGCATCTACATGGAGGGAAGTGTGTAGTGGGGTGCCCCAGGGCTCTGTTCTGGGCCCAGTGCTCTTCAACATCTTCATCAACGATCTGGACAAAGAGATAGATGGGGAACTCATGAAATTTGCAGACGACACCAAGCTGGCAGGAATAGCCAACGCTCCAGAAGACAGGCTTAGAATACAGGAGGATCTGGACAGACTTGAACACTGGGCGCTATCTAACAAAATGAAATTCAATGGTGAAAAAAGCAAGGTTCTACATTTAGGCAAGAAAAACCAAATGCACAGGTATAGTATAGGGGGTACCTTGCTCAATAGTGGTAACTATGAGAGGGACCTCTGAGTCCTAGTGGACAATGACCTAAATATGAGCCAGCCATGTGCTGCAGCTGCCAAAAAGGCCAACACAGTGCTGGGCTGCATTAACAGGGATAGAATCAAGATCACGTGAAGTATTAATACCACTTTACAAGGCCTTGGTAAGGCCACACTTGGAATACGGTATCCAGTTTTGGTCACCATGATGTAAAAAAGATGTTGAGACTCTAGATAAGAGTACAGAGAAGAGCAACAAAGATGATTAGGGGACTGGAAGCTAAAGCATATATAAGGAGCGGTTGCTGGAATTGGGTGTTTCTAGTTTAACGAAGAGAAGGACGAAGGGGGACATGATAGCCATGTTCCAGTATCTCAGGGGCTGCCACAAAGAAGAGGGAGTCAAGCTATTTTCTAAAGTGCCTGAAGGCAGGACAAGAAGTAACGGGTGGAAACTAACCAAAGAGAGAAGCAACCTAGAACTAAGGAGAAACTTCCTGACAGAACAATTAACCAGTGGAACCACCTGCCTCCAGAAGCGGTGAATGCTCCAACACTGGAAGTTTTTAAGAAGAAACTGGACAGCCATTTGTCACAAATGGTATAGGGTTTCCTGCCTGAGCAGGGGTTTGGACTAGATGACCTCCAAGGTCCCTTCCAACGTTGTTATTATTATTATTATTAATTCCTGAGTCACCAGGGGTAGGCAACCATGGCTCTTTTATGACTCATGGACATCCATGCGGCATTAAGTCTGCATTAGGGCAGGGAGTCCCCAATGTAACAATCGTTGAGGGACAGTTCAAAGTTACAAGAGTGCTGGAAAAAGTTGATGTCCACACTTAGGACTGTTGCGGCATCGTGCGATCAAAATTCAGATGCCGGGCAACTGTTGTCAAGCCCTCCCGGGCTCAACATACAGGAGGGGGAAGGTGAAGGATGGCACATTGGGGGGAAGGTGAAGGACGGCACATTGGGGAAGAAGACGGCCAGCACCGGGTCCCACACAGCACACCGTCTCGGCGAAGAAGCTCGAGCCGCTATGCTTCGGCGGGCATTTGAACTGCCGAACAGCTGACGGTGCCGTGAAGCGGACGCCAACTGGGACAACATAGAGAGCCACGCCCATGTGGAAGGAGACACCTGCACAAGCGGCCGCCGGACACTGGCGTGCAGGAGCGCGCTGTCGGGGCAGGGCGTCTCAGAAAGCCTACAATCATGTGGACGAGCAAGAGGGAGGTAGTTAAGCTGGAATAGCTGCTGCGCTTTGGGCTAACTATGGCCGGATGCTGGTTGGGTGATTGGAAGGTGGGGTTATTAGATGATTGAAGGGTGGGATTGTTGGCTAGTTGGGCAGAGGGTGGGGTTGTTAGCCAATTGGGCAGAGGGTGGGGTAGCTCTGAAGCAAGTGTATTTAACCTGCACTGGGAGGCGGCTGCTCCCAGCGTGAACTTTTGTTTCGGCAAGAGGCTTTGATGCTGTATATCTGTGCTGATGCCAACAATGCCTTAAAGCAAACCGCTGATTCCTGAGTCTTGTTTTCTTTGCATCCTTCTTATCCAGGGGTCCGGTAGGATTGTTGACAGAAAGTTTGTGCTCCCACTTTTTTCCCCCTCCTTTTTTCCCCATCGTGTTTCCTGTGCCTCTCCTGTTCTTCTTTTCCCCACCCTTGGAGCCGTTGGACCCAGCCTGGTTGGCTTGTTTGTTCTGAGATATGGCAGAAGGCACTCAGGAGGTGGCTCCTGTTGGGGCAGACCCTGAGGAGGCACCAGTGGAGGCAGTAGAAGCGGGCCCTCCAGTTGCTGACCAGCCAGGAGTACGTCCTAAGGTGGTGGAGCCCAGCCCGGCGGACCGGTCAGGTGATGTCCCAGGACCCCAAGGGATTACAACAGGTGGGAATGCCCTGTCCGGGGAATGGTGGTGTAGCCCAGCAGTCACTGGGATGACGGAGGGCCATGGCCTTGGGCATGGGGAGGTAGGCTGATTGTCGTCTCATGGTGGGAGCAACGCATGACGGAGGAAGACGAGGACTGAAGCTATGCCACAGCTCCTGGGCAAACCACAATGGACCTGTTACGCAAACAGTTCGGAGAAGGAGGGTATCAGGACTCTTCTTCCTGGCAATGGTGGGACCCGGGTACAGAAACAACCTCTTGGTCGCAGGGTGGTTCCTCCTCTGCACAGCCAGCTACAGGACGCTTCCAGTTGGTGAGTCCAAAGCTGAAACTGGATCTCAGCCGTGGGGGGTGACATATACCAGGGGAGGGTTGGTAGTCAAGGGCCCAGCTGACCGATGGACAGGCAACGGGTGGGGGGTACCAGGAGACCGTCATCTCTTCCACTAGTGGCTCCTTCCCGGGCATCCGGGACAGGACTTGGGGCCCCAATCACAAGGGGAGCAGATACTGGTAGGTCTTTCACCTGGGCCAGGATGGGGTGCAGGACCATGGCCCCAGGGACCTGTCTGGGGTCCTCCGCCTCTTAATATTACTTTCAACGGGAATCCGGACCGACTGGCCCTTTTCCTTAGCTAGACGATAGGCCATATGGATCGCTATGGCCACCTTTATTGGTTCCCAGTGAGCCAGTGGCAGCAGCCCTGCAAGGGAAGGCCGTGGAATGGGTGGCCGATCTGCATAGCGACCATGCTTGGGAACTTGCTAATGTTGGGACATTTCTGAGTACCCTCCAGACCCGCTTCGAGGATGTATCCAGAATCCGGCAGGCAGAAGGGAACTGTTGGTGATTAAGCAACGAGGCAGACCTGCTGCAGAACACATCTGGGACTTCCAACGCGTAGCCAGTAAGTTACATACGTGACCAGAATGCCTGTTGGTGCACCACTTTCGAGCAGGGCTCGACAGAGATCTCAGACAGGCGTGTGTAAACCGTGGGAACCCGAGCAAGCTGCAGGAGTGGTTCCGGGTGGTTATGGATTTGGACACAGGGCTACAAGAATTCCATCCAAGTGGGGGACAGCCCAATGGGCCCACGTAGGAACATCAAGCGACCAAGGCCTCCAGGCACAGCATCTGGTACATCTGTCAGAACACTCCTTCTGACATTTCGTTGCTTTTGCTGCAGCCAACTGCTGCAGAATGTCCCGAGTCAGTCCCCAAAGGAAGGGCAGAGTTCCCTGTGAAAAATATGCTGAGGAAAACCCCGGAAAAGTCACGAGCGGTACAACAACAGGTTGAGGGGTCCATGTTCTGGGGGGAGAGGTCGAACCCTGAGGACGTGACCAGCGTGGTGGGACCCCAAGTGGTCATGTACAACAAGGACGCAGGAGCTCCTGAAGATCCAATGGTAAGTGAACCCATCCATCCATTCACTCTCCCTGTCATAATAGCTAGTGCACACTCGGGGTGTCGGAGACAGTACAACACCCTCCTTGACACTGGATGCACTCGCAGTTT